ATTGTGCTTCCTTTTTAATTTCAATAAAGCGCATAACTCTTGAAGATTTAAAAAGTTTTCTAAAAATATTTTTCATAAGTGATTCTCAAGTTCATTCATGCAAGAAGAAAAAGACATGATTAATTAGTTGTACTTTTATTATGTTTCTTTAAATATATTCAAATAACATAAATTAAAAATTGAATCTTATGTCTTCTTTGTATCCCTTCGAAGGTTTCAATGTTATCCAAGAAGTGAGGGTCTAATTGATAAGATAAGAAGAAAAAAGAATTTATGAGTTACATAACTTTGTCAAAATATGTGGGCAAAAAAAAGCATTATTAAACATGAAATAGATGAAAAAAAACATAAAATTTATTAGGGCAAACAAATTATAGTGAAAAGTTATTGAATCCATTAATTGTGTATGTACATATTAATTTAGATATTTTTTTATATATATCATCCATTTTGAAGATCTAAACACTTGCACTTTCTACATAGTTTCAAATAAAAAAAGATTTAATAAGTAAACTTTTATTTAATTTGAAGTCCTAAATATTAATAAAATCTTTAAATTATATGTTATTCAATATAAAATTTATCTATATAGGTAAAATGTCAATTAACATTTTTTTAGAGATTTTGTGTTTTTATAATATAGATTTAGGCTTGTACGGTTTAGTATAATTAAATATACTATCAAATAATTATTTTAGGTACTTAATTGAACATGGGTTAATTAATTGTATGATTAAAATAAGAATTTTTAATGCATATTTATTAATTATAAAAGAAAGATTTCGCGTCAATCAGTATAAAATATATACAAGAAAAATAAATTATTACAATATCTTCTTAACATACAAAGATGATGAATTTAGTTGAATTAGTTATATAATATTTGTAATTATAATATCTTGTGAAATAAGATAATAAATATATCATATTGTTGTATCTCGCCTAACATCTCTTTGGAATACAAGTAATACAAATTTCGACTATCAATTAGACCAATGACAATATTATACAAAATATTATAAACCTAAACTACTGGATATAAATATTTTAACTGATTGTTTATCCTGTAGATGCGTCGCTATATCTCAAACTTATATCTCTTGAAATTCTAATTTACTAAATAATATAATTTTTCATAAAACTCCAGTCACTTAATTAGGCCAGTCTTGAGGAAGTTGTTCTTTAAATAAATTTTCTTGCATCTTCATCCAATGATATTAATTGAATAGTTATTATTTTTCTTAAAATTTAAGAGCTTGAAAAGTTAAATAATAACTTAAATTTTTGAAAAGGAGATATAGTGTATTCCTAAGATCACCTTACAAGGAAATAATAACATTTTTTATTAATTATCAAATAATGAATACAAAAAATAATTAAGCTTTCAAATTAATGGCAACTTTTTCACAATTAATTTATCATCAAGATTCTAACACAAATATTTTATGTAGAAAAATGAAGGTAAGCTACTTTTTATAACAAATGAGATTATAAATTTAAAAACTTGCTCAACATAAAAAATATGTGATATATGGTAGAGAATTATATATTTAAATATTGATTTTTCTAATTCAGAGGAAGGTTTAGTAAACAATATTTATTATGATTATATATTATAAGTAAGTATAATCAGTTTTTCATTTCCATGAAGAATAAAAAAATAGAATCTAATTTAATTTGTCAAGATTCTAAAATAAATCTTTTATGTAGGAAATAAATTCAAGCTATTTTTTTTATATAACAAAGAGATTAAAAGTTTAAAACGTGTTTTGGTTTTTCTTTTTGTCTCGGATCGAGTCTTTTCCCCCCTTGATATCTATATGTCTATTTTTAACATGGTGATAAAGTTCGTTTTTATTAACCAAGGTACATAATATTCGTTCATATAGACTCATAACCTTTTAAACTTTGTATCAAAATTAAAAATAAACAAAAGCAATTATCTTGTCTTACAAGATATGGCAAATAGAACATGGTTATATCCCATTGACACATAGAATATGGTAGTTGAATTTATTTTTGTTAGACAGTTAAATCAACGTATAATGGTTGATTTTAAATTTTTAGTTAATTTAAAGGTCCTAAATCTTAGGGAGATAATTAAATGACCTTTTTTTTAATCTAATGTGAGCTCTAATTTTAACAAAGTAAAAAAGACAAACATATTTTGATAAGGACCTTCGTGCTTTTAATGTAGTAAAGATATAAATTTTTATGTGTAAGATTTACATACAATAAACTCTTAATATCTTTAAAGGTTTTAAACTTTTTACATAATTTAAATAAAAAAAATTAATAACTAAAATTTTAATTAATTTTAAACTCATAAACATAGATTTGTATAAAGTAAACTCTTAACAGTTTTAAAGTTCTAAATGGTAAGACTTTCTGCATAATTCAAATAAGAAAGATTTTTAATGCGTAAAATTTTAATTCATTTAAACTGTTTAATATTAAAAAATAATTAACTGACTATTCAGTAAATTATTACTTATAGTACTTGACTACATTCCAAGGACGACTGATTTTCTTTATTTATAAATGAGACAAAAAACCGTTAGTTTAAGTTCCAATCTTCTATTCTAGGTAATATTAATTCATTGGTAGTAGTATTTTATTGGTACTATAAAATTAAATAAATATATAATAGGTAATGTATTTCTTGTTAATGAAAGGATAGGGGAGAAAACGTGGTAAAAGTATATTAAGTTAGTGGTTTTTTTTAAAGTGATTGATATAAGGTAAAAGTTTAATTGATTTTAAAGTTCTAAATATTAGGATTTTCTATCTAGTTTAAATAAGGAAGGATTTAATGCATAAAATATAGCAATTAATTTTCAAGTCCTAAATATTAGGAAAATGATTTAAATGACTATTTTGTCTAGTACAAAACTAATTCTTAAAGGGTAAAAAAGGCGAACGACATTTTGCTAAGGGCCTTCGTACTTTTAATATAGTATAGATATAGATAGATATAGATATAGATAGATAAAAAATTGTCCTTAAAATCTTAGTTAATTTAACATTTTAAATATTAAGCAAGCGATTTATAATTTAGATTTCTTAATTAGGAGCTCTTACCTAAATCAAATAATTAGAAAATATTTAGTTGCCAAAACACTTTAGCTAATCCCTAAATAAAGGATGATACTTTTTTTTAAAAATTACAAATTAGAGACGTAAGTTATGCATAGTTCTTCCATTTCAATTTGTTTTACAAAACAAATCATAATAAGCGTCTAAGAGAAAGTCATATTTCATTAAACGGATATTAAAAAAGAGTCGAAATTCAGTTCCTAAATAAAGGAGTTAGAAGGATATCTTTCCACACACAAAAAAAAAAAAAAAAAAAAAAAAAAAAAAAAAAAAAAAAAAAAAAAGAACAAAGAGGGATGCTTTTTTTTTTTTTTTTTTTTTTTTACTTCGGAGACTAAGTTGTGCATATCTTGCATTTAATTTGCTAATAAATAAATCTTAATAAGGGTCCAAAAAGAAAGAATATTTCATTGATTTTCTATAGAAAAAATAATTTAAAATTGGTTAAATACCTCTTCCTTTGTTTTTTACTTCTTTGATTCATAGCCCGTTTGGCCAAGCTGCAAAAATCAGCTTATTTTGAGAAGTGTTTTTCTCAAAAGTACTTTTGGTGAGAAGCAGTTTGTGTTTGGCTAATTAGTTTGAAAAACACTTCTGAGCAGCAATTAGTGTTTGGCCAAGCTGCAATCAGCTTATTTTGAGAAGTGTTTTTTTTCAAAAGTGCTTTTCTCAAAAGTACTTTTGGTGAGAACAGTTTGTGTTTGGTTAATTAGTTTGAAAAGTACTTCTGAGCATCAATTAGTATTTGGTCAAGCTTTAAAAAATTGCTTCTAAGTGTATTTTTCTCAAAAATGTTTATCAAAAAAGTGCTTTTGGAGAGAAACTATTTTTTTCTGCTTCTCCAAAACTGCTTCTGCTCCTCCTCAAAAACACTTTTTTTCCTTCCAAAAGCTTGATCAAACACCTCAATTTTTGGCCAAACAGGCTATCAATGTGTCTTTTCCTTATAAAGACTCCTATGCCCAAACAGAGTTCGAAATACTGTTTCTTACCTAAACTTAAAAGAAGGAATTCTAGAATTGGAAGGAGTTAGAAATAGCTCTACATATTAGGAGAATAAGTAAATGACTACTCTTAAATATAAGAAAAATAATTAAATGACTATTCCTGCATATTAGGAAAATAATCAAATGACTATTTTGCTTAGTATAAATTTCATTTTAAAGGAGTAAGAAGAACGAACGACATTTCGCTAAGGACTTTTGTGCTTTTAATATAGTATAAATATAGATAGATAAATATAGATTATTTTAATATCTCTGGGATGATTTGCTTCTTTAAACAATGAAAGCCATCAATAACTTAAGTTTGTGTACATATCAATATAAAATATCGTAGCCAAATCTTCTACCATAAAGGAGAATTGTTCCTTAAGCAATATGCGAGACGCCTTCAAAAGCAATTCGTTTGTCGTCTTTTATTTATTTATGTTTATTAGAAATAGGAACCTTACACAAGAAGCCAATTATCCGAACGGTGGCTTTTAAAGTTTGACCTTTGAAGCGTCACTTTGTTTAGCTATGTGGGTTATATCAATTATAAGCTAATCGACACCAATTAATTAATTTCAAGTTGAAATTCAATTAATTATTTAAAAGGAAAATTTAATAATTTAACTTTTAATTTAAGTACTTCCGCTTTTAATATAGTATATACATAAATATAGATAGATGTGGTTTAAATTATGGCCCCGGTCACTGCTCTCTGGCTCGTTCCCCATGAGATGGTTGATAAAGACATTTGTTGAGAAATTACAAAGAAATTTGATAAGTTTGTCTTTTTAGTTCCATTAAAATTTCAACTTGGTATTAAATTATAAAAAATAATAATAATTAAAAAAAAAGAAGTTGGCAAATAGAAGACAATGTGACAGTATCTATTGAGTATCTCACTCGTGACTTATCTTTACTTTCTTCTTACCAACCCATGCTTTTCCTTGTAGTTTCCAGGCAAAAGTGTTAGACTTTCCAAAACAAAAAACAAGAAACAAATTGGAGCTCATCTTCACTCTACCTTCCATTTTGTTCAGAAAGCACATCAATTTCACCAAAGCAACGGACGTGATGGTTGGTTTTAATGAAGAAACTGAAATGCTTATAGAGCAACTTGTGAGAGGACATCGACAATTAGATGTGATCTCAATATTTGGAATGCCAGGACTCGGAAAAACAACCTTGGCTAAGAAATTGTATGATCATGAAACAATTTCCAATCGTTTCGATATTCGCTTGTGGTGTTGTTCTTCTCAATCTTATAATAATAGAGTTCTCTTGTTTGAATTATTAGGTCATATTTGTGAGCTTGATGATATTACTAAAGAAAAAAGTGATGATGAGTTAGCTGAGAAGCTTTATAGATATTTGAAAGGAAAGAGATACCTTATTGTAGTGGATGATGTGTGGAGTCCTAATGCATGGGATGATATAAAGAGACCGTTTCCCGATGATAATAAAGGAAGTCGAATTATTTTAACAACTAGACTTGAATCAATCACCACGTATGCCATGATCAATTCGAGTCCTCATCATCTTCGCTTGTTCACAGAAGAAGAAAGTTGGATGCTACTGAAGGAGAAGGTATTCAAAGAAGACAATTGTTATTGTCCTCAACAACTCGAGGATATAGGTAAGCAAATAGCGACAAAGTGTGGAGGATTACCCCTTGCAATTGTATTGGTAGCTGGTGTTCTTGCAAAAAATGATAAGGAAATAGTTCATTGGCAACAAGTAAGGGAACGTTTGAAGTTAAAAATGCAAGGTTGTATGGATATAGTTGAATCGAGTTATCAACACTTACCCGTTCATTTGCAAAATTGTTTTCTCTATTTTGCTTCATTTCTAGAGGGTAAAAAAGTTCCTGTTCAAAAATTGATACGACTATGGATCGCAGAAAATTTTGTTGAAGCTAGTAGTACTACATTAAAGAGCTTAGAGATGGTTGCAATGGATTATTTGATGGATTTAATTAGGAGCAACCTAGTGATGGTGGCTAATATAAATTCCTCGGGGGAGCTCAAAGCTGTCTATATTCATGATGTAATACATGAATTTAGCTTGAGGAAAGCTAAAGTTGGCAACTTTTTGCTGAGGATAAATGACCAGCTGTAAGTGAATTCAATTTAATTATGTATCTAGCTTTTTGAAGGAGAGCCTTGGCGTAACTGATAAAGCTGTTGCCGTGTGACCAGGAGGTCAAGGGTTCGAGCCGTGGAAACAGCCTCTTGCAGAAATACAGTGTAAGACTGCGTACAATAGACCATTATGGTCCGGCCCTTCCTCAGACCCTGCCCTATTTTTATGTGTCTAGTTTTTTGTTGTTTATTAGATATCAATTTACTTATGTATCTCCTTCTTGAACCAGTGTTTATATACTTCCATCTTCCAAAGGTCGCTCTGGACGCATATATATCTTAGCACCTTCTGGACGAAATATCAACACCTTACGATTCCTTCCCAGTGTAAATTCTCCTTGGGTTGATTTAGATTTGGCTAAATCCTGGAAAAACCTGAGAGTATTAGATTTGAGTTCCGTAAAGCTGCATAAGACTCATGCAGATGCATTGAGATATCTGATTCATTTGAAGTATTTGGAGCTGCAGTTGCCTTCTGATTACACTTCATATACAATATGCAACCTGAAGGAGCTAGAGACATTTATAGCGACCGGAGTCTATCATAAATCCTGCATTCCAAATTCCATTTGGGGTATGACAAGCTTGAGGCATCTGCATATAAGTACTCTATACACCTCTCAAATATTAGAGGATCTTGACAACTTAAAAACATGTTCGAATTTGGTTATTGATGCTGGGGTGTATTATCAGAGTTTTATGAAAAGATTACCCAATCTTGAAAAGCTCAGTTGTCGATTATGTGGCTCAGGAACCCGTTTTTACAAATACTTTCCTGCTTTCGGATCTCTTGGTCAACTCAAATCTCTCAAGATCGATGTCACTAGGTTATTGACATATCCCTATGGTTTTGAAGACTTTACATATCCGTCAAGCCTCAAGAAATTAACTTTGGCATATCTTGAGCTCCCTTGGAGTAAAATGTCCTACATTGGTAGTTTGTCCAACCTTGAATTTCTTAAATTAGAAGGTAATGGTTTTAAAGGGAGGTGGGACGTTAAGGACGGGGAGTTTTCTAACCTTAAAGTTTTGAAATTAAAGAAACTAGGACTCTCGGAATGGACTGCCTCTGATGACTCATATCCCAACCTACAGCGAGTACTGGTGCACGGGTGTTGGAAACTAGAGGAAATTCCTTATAGTTTTGGGAGTAGTTGCTCAATGCAACTTATTGAGGTAAGATCATGTTGTGACTCTGCGGTAAATGCTGCCCTCAAAATTAAAGAAACACAAATTGAGGAGATGGGGAATTCTGAATTCAAGGTTATTATTTGTAAGTAAAGTCACAAGTCTGATTCAGAAGGATTGTTTAATTAGGTTTCTTTGTCATATTTTTTAATTAAATATATGTAAATGAAATGCTACACATGTTATGTAAGGCCATCCTATAATTGCTTGATCTAAGAGTCTAATAAAAGAGTGTTTCTTATCAGACAATGAATAACTTCCAATTTGTCTTTAAATTATGTATTTGATTTTAGTAGTTTGAGCTTTGTCTGCAATTCCCCAGTTTTATGTTCCAGCTTGGACATTTCTTGGTTCATCTGTTTTGCAGCAAGCTCGAGACGTCTCAACGTCTAGCAGACACCATACATAGTGTGGCCAGGTATACTAAGTCCCCAAATAGATTGAGTGGCCTCCTTAAAGGATTCTTGCTGCAGTAGGACAGTTAGTAATCTGAAAGGTATTGGGAGTGATTGACTGTCCCCAATTAATTAGGGACAGTTACTAAAAAGGAGAGTCCGGTGCACTAAGCTCCCGCTATGAGCGGGGTCCGGGGAAGGGCCGGACTATAAGGGTCTTTCTGTTGTATCACCAAACTTGACCAACTAGCTCGTACTAGTTGATAACTTTTGAGGGTAATTAAAGAAGAGAAAAAGAAGTCGATAAAGTGATAAGTTTTTTTTCTTATGCAGAAAAAATAGAAGGAAGAATAGGTAGTGAATTAAGGCATTTGAGAAGCAAAGTAGAGCATAGGTGGATCTGAAGTAGTTTATAAAAACACAAAAGAAGCTTAAGGCTACAACGACTAATTGGTGAAGTAAAAAAGGTAACAGTTGCCGACTGCTACTGAGAACCTAACAGAACTTTTCACTTAGATGGCGCCTGGAATGGACTTTTATAATTGAATGAAACAAAAGAATATCCAATCCCTGCAAAAAGTTGGGATGGATATAATCCCTCTATAGAACAGAAGTCATCAGAGGTTTCTGCAGAATTTCTTCTCTATATAGCAAGCGCCTTTTTGTTGAACCATAGCACGTGTAGATAATGCTCTCAAGGCAATGCCTTATGCATGAAACATCATAAGTCTCAAGAAACCTCAGGTCTGTTTCCCTCCACTTCGCGCCAGCAAAATGCTTGTACTCCTCCATCACAGAAGACAAACACCAACTCTGCCATTTCCTTAGGCAACCGACAATGCAACCAGTTCGATGCTGCAGGAGAAAATGAAGTATGTGTTATGTCTTATAACCATAGCGCAGTGATTGGTAATTGAAGCAGCAATGTCTAGATCCAGGAGGACCAGCAAATCCAGAATTTAAACTTGACGATTCAACCTTTAAGGTTCTTAGAACTGAACACATTATATTTTTTAAATAATGAGCTCAAAATTTAATATCTGTCAAAATTTTCGTGGTCTTATACACACGCATATATGTTCTGTGTCGAACTATTGAACACATTGATAACAAGCTGCATCCTCATATAAGGAGGACGAAGTAAAGAAAGCATTCAGTTCATCAGTACTCGAAAGGAAATACAAATAAGACTCAATTGTAAACATCCAAGCGGAGTCCATGGTCCATCTGTAAACTCTACAACAAGGAAAGCATATGTTTACTACTACTGAAAGCCAAGAAATCCAGACTATAAAGAGAAACCAAATGTTTCAAGCTCCACCAGATACAGAAAGCTGGATAATAGGATGCTGGAAATAGAGAACGAAAGGGAATGATATTTCAGTTTTGCAAACAAATTAGACAATGAATCAGTACAAATTCAAATGAAACTCGAGAGAGACAAATGAACACCTACTGGAATATAAGTTCAACATTGTGCAGCAAAAAATATGAGGATTGTATTAGCAAATCAGCAGGCACAAATTGAACTACATAGAAAGGTACCAAAACAGATAAGCATAGACAACAAAACCAAAAACTGCAGAAAAAATGCACATCTAAAAGCTGCCCAAGTTAAATCGAATCAAGTTAATGCACCTTTCCGCGCTTGCAGTGGATAAGAACTGGATGATTTCTGACATCTAAAGACAAAAAGGAAAGAATGTCAACATTTATGTACTGAGATTATAGGCCTAAAAAAACTGATAGAGAGAATGCTAGAGATTTATACCAGTTAGCACTTTCACAGCCTCTGTTATAGCACTCCTGGACATAGCTGATGCCTCCTGGAAGGGGAAAAAACTAATTGAGGTAACTAATGTATATCATTTCAGTTACCACCATTTCTCCCATTTCCATCATATCATAATCAGAAGCCGGATTATCGAGACCAAACATCTATCAGTCAACTACTCTCAGTCGCAAGATAGTTGGAGTCGGCTATATTAATTCGTATCTTTATAGGATTCTTCAAAATTAGATTATTTTACTATACTCGTTAACTTACCGTAACCTTCCTCCTCAATACCAACCTTGGAATCTGCTATATACGCAGACTTTTCTATAACAACTATCTTTTATAACAACATTTTGCTGTAACGGCCGAGTTTTCTTTGGAACCAATTTTTCTTTTCATGTTATGTTATATTATATGTTTTCTACAACAACATTTCGTTATAGCAGCCAAAGAATTTCCAGACGAGCACACTATTATAGAGATGTTTGACTATACTTGCAAATCTCACATAGAGAGACTTGATAGAACCCAATATAATAGCTAAATTTGCATATTATTTGCTAATCTGCCTCAAACAGAAAAACGAACAAGAAAAGGTGAAATATTCTTTGAGAAAACAAAGAAGCATTCACATAATTTTGGTTATATGTGAAGTGGTTTTACATTTTTTTTTTCAACCAAGAAAATGTAAAATCATTCATGAAACAATAGCTAGACCTAGGATTAAATTCTACAGAATAATCCAGAGTGATATGCTTAAAAAACAAAAACTTGAGTTAATTGATTATAGCAAAGTTTTACAAATAAAAGAAAAAACTGATAGAAGAACAAGAAACTACCTTAGTGCCATCCATTCCAAATTGGAAAAGCTTTATTTTGTTAAATCGAAGAAACTCCAAATTCTCTTCAGGATAAGGCTCTGGACACAAACATCTGCAGACAAAAAAAATCTCAGTTCCCCACAATAAGAAGGACAAACTCAGAGAATCTTGAAAAAAATTATGAGAAATTAATATTCAAAAGGACCCTTTCTTTTTTCCTTTCTTCCTCTTTTCTTGAGAAATTTATCAGACTTGATACAGAAAGTTGGCTATTGTTATAGGTCAACTTAAATTGACAGTGCAAAAAAACTTTTTCCAGTGTCACTAAACTCAACAACAACGTTAAACTGCAGTACCAAACAAGTTAGAGTTAGCTATATGAATCCCCACCGACTATATTTCCATTTAAATACATCTCACGTCAACATAATATGAAATAAAAAAAATTTTAAAAGCACTAGAAGTTCTCTTATGTTTCCTACTGAAATAAGAATCTCTAATAGCTAACAATAGAACATAAGCTCAATGAAAAAAATAAAAATAAAGAGACTAACATGATAGAGCTCAGATTGAGTGTCTTCAAAAATGGGAAATTGGAAGGCTGAGGGAAGCCACTTCTGTAAATGCAGTTATCTTCCACTAGTGAGAAATTTGTAGGTGGCACTAAAATACCATCATCTTCTTGCAAAATCAACTCCATTTGTATTCTTTCTTTTTTTGTTGCTATTTAATCTCGAATTTACAGAAAAAATAAATATAATAACAATTACGTCTTAATTTCAAGAAAGTTGGAGTAGACTATAGGAATCTTCACATGAATAATGTTTCAACTGAAAATCAAGAAAAGGTTTCAGTAGTCAATGTTGGATTCTTGGATAAAGATTTTTCTAATAATTCAGCTAAAAAGGCAAAAAGGTTCATGTTTGTTGGGAATCTAGTGGATTTTGTCCAGGTTTATATAGATGATTATTAATATGTCTATTTACATACGTTAAAGGGCGGCCCTTACACTATCCAAATGTTTTTGACCTTTCAAACTGCTAAAATTATGTTTAATTTCTTTAGGAATTTTCATGTCCAAGAGAAAATGTAATGTATATGATGTGTAATTTTTGTTTCCAGATATGTATCAAAAATGAAACAAAAAATAATTGAGCAGTCACAATCTGCACTTTTTGCTTGAATTATTTAATTATTTAGTTTTATTTTGTATGAGAATTTGATTTTTCTGAGGTCACATTTATCAGAGAAAATATTCAACAAAAAGTTCTTTTTGAGTAAGATACTGAACAAGTCAAATTAGATGTAATATGCTGGTATTGCTTGAACTTGTCAACCTCGAGTGTATGCAATTTTCTTTTTGGTTTTGATTTTCAATTAGGTGTGCGATATCCGCTTTAGGACCTCAATTAATCTGAATTTGCACCGCGTAGCATCACTAAAGAGAGAAGTATTTTATACCATAATATTTTTCATTTCCAGAACTCGAATCTGAAATCTCTGATTAAAAATGAAGAGATTCTATCTATCATCACAACTCTTGAGGGTGTCTATGCAATTATTAAGGCCGTATGCTATTGTTGTTGAATTTGGCAAAGTCCCACATCGGTGGGTTAGCCATTGGGAAATTTTCCCTATAAAAAAAGGCCTAATGTTTAGTATTTAAACACACCTCTCATTTGCCTTCTCATCTGTTTAAGGCATTT